CAGAGAGAGAGAGGGAGAGAGAGAAAGAGAGAGAGAGAGAGAGAGAAAGAGAGAGAGAGAGAGAGAGAAAGAAAGAGAGAAGCGGGAGTGTAATGGTGGTGTCGTGGGTGGGTGAGGTTACAAGGAGAATACAGATACGCGTATATAGAATCAAGTCTTCTCCTTTCTCCGAGTGACAAAGGCATGCTGCTAGTAGTTCTATATACGGCTACATCATATCACTGTCGCTGCGCTAGCTACTGTCTGGCGATTCTTTAGTCCTTAATCATAAGAAAATCGTTACATTACATGAACACTCTTGAATAAACCACTGGTCAAAGATCCACTCAATGAGTAGAGGAGGGGAGATCAATCCATAATCTTCCAACTTAGAACACAACATGTACCCCTCAACCAACATCTTAACCGAATTGGAGTAAAGCAGTCTGCTGCCTGCCCACTATGTGACTACCCCTCAGAGACAGTGGAACATCATCTGTTCTTCTGTAGAAAACTAATTGATTAAAGGGGATGTTTTCTTCACAAGCTACCCATTAATTGCCTCTACTTCTCAAGACAACAATTAGAACAGACATGCAGCTAATACCGAATGGCATCAAGCAAAAGAGTTAACGCTCAGATGCTACTGGATCGCTAACAACAACATGAACACTCTTTTTTCTCTAGACACACTGTCTAGACACTGCCAAGACACACTATCATGACGTAATGTTAACACGTTATCAAGACACACAATCAAGGCACATGCTGTCGCTACACAACATCAAGACACTCCATCAATACACTTTTTTAAGACAGACTGTAAATAAAGACACACCATCAAAACACATACATGCAATAAAGACACATCGTAAAAAGACGTCCTAAAAGACAACTCGTCGAGACATATTGTAAAGACAAATCGTAAAGACAAAAATCGTACAGACGCACCACTAATTAAGACGCATTGTTAAGACTCGTCATCAAGGCATATAACAAAGACACATCGTCAAGACACACCACAAGGTACATCGAAAAGACACACCCCAAAGACACATCGTAAAGATACACTGTCAAATTTAAGACACACACAGTCAAGACATCGTAAAAGCACATCATCAAAACACATCATGTGTCAAAATACATGTACACAGTCAAGACACACCTTCAAGAAATACACAGTCAAGACACATCTTCAGGACACACCTCAAGACACTGTCAAAATACACTGATTGCCCTCTTTATTTCCTCCGTAGCGTTTGCCTCGACTAAACATGGATGGATTGTTTGTGTGTCTATATATATGTAATATCAGTATTCTAATATATATATTATAAAA